GCGTACTTCTGTTCTTGTTCGTAGAGACCCGAAATAGCACGGCTGCTGCGCTTCTCCGCTTCTGCTGGAGCTTACTGCCTCGCTGGCAGGAGCCTTGGGAGAGCTCGGGAACGCGTCTGCAGCCCTTTGGAGTGGAAGGAGCAGTGTAAGCAGACGTATCCCCTTTCAGACTCGCAGGAAAGCCAAGCCAGGAAACATCTTGTGTCTCCTCTTGCGCTGCCGTTGCTTGTCATAGGGGATTTGCTGGTAAAATAGGAGATGCCCGTCAGCTTGGTGGAACCACTCCAGGCGCTGTGGGGCCGTTCCTGGAAGTCCAGACTGAGCGAAGGAGGAGGCGATAGCAGAGTGCATGGTGTGCTGCAAATAACAGCAACAGAACAAAGAAAAGCCACTTGGTGGGTATAGAAAGACCCGTAGCCTTCTGCTGCGTAAAGGGAGAAGGGAGTTTAAGCAGGCTCCCCAGACGCAGAGAACGGTCTCTCTAGCACTCGAGCCGTGAACTGGCTGAAGGGGCTGGACGTGGTGTGGAACTCTGCTCTAGTTGGACACTTGCAGAGCTCAGAGGGACCCCCGCTCCCTCTGCACCCCAGAGAGGCCGTTTCTGCTGCTGCAGTACTGGGGCCGCAGCAGCGAGGATCGCCGGGGTCCCGTGCCGTGGTGGCATCAGGGTGGTGTTCCTTGGGACACGGACCGCAGCCGCCCTGCGGGACATCCCTCTGCTCTGTCCCTGCCCATCCCCGGGGCCCTCCTGCAGTTCAAACAGTTAGTTTGCCTTCAGCTGAGAAACTTTCTCTTTGTGTCTCTCCTGCCCACCTATCAGAAACTTGTCGACTTAAATCAGAGCGTTTGCAAACGAAGCTGTTGTCTGAGCATGGGGCTGGAAATTCCCGGAGCTGGAGGGGACACGCCGCTGTGCAAGTGCTCTGGTCAGGCAAAGCCGCTTACACCGCAACACGTGCGACACGTGAGCCGCTCCGCGCTGTGTCGTGGTTTGCACAAGCCCCGGCCAGCCCACTGCGGAGCTCACTAGTGGAAGCCTGGCCTTGCGGCCACGGGCTCTGCTGGAACAGCGTCCAGCCGCTACTTGGGAGCGTTTCTTGTAGGAGTGACGAAGCACAGACTCAGCTTCAGAGAGGAGAGCTTTAAAGCTTGCTCTTAACTAATGGCAGCATCGCTCTGCAGGCACAGATAAAGAGTAAACCCAGTTGGTCTTGTGGGTAATATGCATAGATGCTAATTAATCTTCAGATTAGCCAAATCTAATTCTGTCTCTTTGGACTGTTATAAATCGAAAGCACCGTGCTGAAATCTGTAGTGACATCTGTCTTATGTGTAGATATATATATATTGAAAAACAGTGAGAAATGACCAAAGTTCCTAATCTCTATGTAAAATATCAGTCTTTGGCATGCTGTGTTTCTTCTGCACTGCAGGATTTTTCTCAGAGAACCTTTGGATGTGGGTGTGGGTTTAGCTTGGGGGGGGTCCCAAAGGCCAGATGTTTAGCTGATGGTGGGTCCTCACCTGCTTGGGGGTCTGGCTGGAAGAAAGTAAACAGTATTCCAGGTGAGGGCTAGCAAATGTACATTTAGAATTAGTTTTATATTATGGCTTGACACTATTGACATGTAGCACTGGTCCAAATGTTTGCACAGGATCTGGGGCGATAGACTTGGAGACGTTGGTGCTGCTGGCCACGTGATGCTCTGTTTTCTGAGTACTACTGCACAATTGAAACATTTCTCCCAGCACTTTTCTCAAGCTGAACCATTGCTTTCTCTTCAGTTTAGCTGTTTTTGCTCTTCCCCCTCACTGCACTGTTGCTATACCCTCGCTTCAGACTGGTGTGTTTGCTGTCCCTTCCAAGCTGATTCAGCTCTGAAATGGTTTTGGTGTTCTCAACTTTCCCTTCACAGAACAAGAGCTCAAACAAAAGCAACCTAAGCCACACAGCCTAGCAGTCCTGGAATTAAACGTTTTGTTTCCACTGTCCTCCTTGGCATTTTGGGATGTAAAGCAGGAACACAATAGGTCCTTCAGCCTATGTAGGAAGCGTTGAGGCCGTGCTCGGAGATTGTGGTGTTCTGTTTTGCTAACCGTGCTTCTTACCAGCTGCGCGGTTAAGAACGATGTATTGAAAAGATGCCGTGAATCTGTATGTCTGAAAGTAAACATCCATCCCGTGCACCGAGCGCTGCTGCTTTGCTCCTGCACGCCCGGCCCCACGCTCACCCCTCTGCCTCTCTTGCAGCACTGCGAGACCTGCAAGCAGGCGGTGCCAGGGGACTGCCCGGTGGTGTACGCCGACAGGGCGGGCTACTCCCGGCAGTGGCATCCGGCGTGCTTCGTG